GAGAATTTACGTCAATTTTGAGACCAAAGAGAAATTATGGAGGGGGGTACTGTCCCCCTCTTTAGGGGATCAAATTTGGGCCTTGGATGGTCCGATTTAGGATTTTTAGGGGTCAATTCCACGTGAAATTTTCCGTGCTTTTCAATTCTGATGCGATCTATCCGTAATTCGGTCGGGAACCGTGACTTTTAGCATCGTGACCCCCCTTTACCCCCCAAGGGAGGATGGGGGGGTTTCGGGACCACGAAATTCGGATTCCTTGGGGTCAATTCCCTATTCAACCCCGCGATCTCCGACTTCGTACGACCTATACCAACCGAGAAAAAGGCCTGGTACGGGTGGTCTGAAACACCCTGTATAATTGGTTTCTCTCAATTTTCATACTGACACATATACGGAACAATACGGAACATCCCACGGAGAGACCACGTATCTCCGTTTGCGACGTTGCAGATTACTTGTCAAAATCTTTTTTTTCTTCGGATAACTAGTCAACGTAAAATGTTTCTCCGTGATTTTTCATCTCTGTTAGCAGAGTATCTGGCATACAAATTAAGTTGTAACGTTCGATTGCTTCCCATCGAAATAATAAAATAGGAGCGGAAATTTTGAAACACCGCAATGTAGATACGTGATACTGTACTCTGACCGTCGATATGTGGTACGAACATCCGTAAAGCTTGAATAGGCATCAAGGCGATATCGTGTCACCAACGCGTCCGTTAATCAAGCGCTGCAGTCAGTGCGCTGAAATTCAAAACGCCTTCAATTTTTTGAACGCAATATGGACATCCGTCGAGGTTGTATAGTTGTATCAAGGCGCCGTTGTCGGCGCGTCCTAGTCTCTTGTTACGGACGAATAAAATCGGTGCGAAGAAAGCCGAAATACCTTCAGTTTTCTACGTTCCGATGACCAAATTGAGAGACCATGTATCTCCGTTTGTCACGTTGCAGATTACGTGTCAAAATCTATTTTTTCTTTGGATAACTAGTCAACTAGTTTAAGTTGTAACGTTCGATTGCTTCCCGTTGAAATAATAAAAAGGAGCGGAAATTTGGAAACACCGCAATGTAGATGCGTGATACTGTACTCTGACCGTCGATATGTGATACGAACATCCGTAAAGCTTGAATAGGCATCAAGGCGATATCTTGTCACCGACGCGTCGTTTATCAAGCGCTGCAGTCAGTGCGCTGAAATTCAAAACGCCTTCAATTTTTTGAACGCAATATGGACATCCGTCGAGGTTGTATAGTTGTATCAAGGCGCCGTTGTCGGCGCGTCCTAGTCTTCTCGTTTACGGACGAATAAAACCGCTGCGAAAAGATTCGAAATGCCCTTAGTTTTCACCAAATTGAATGACCACGTACCTCCGTTTTCGACGTTGCAGATTACTTGTCAAAAACTGATTTTTCTTCGGATAACTAGTCAACGTAAAATGTTTCTCCGTGATTTTTCATCTCTGTTAGCAGTGTATCTGGCATACAAATTGAGTTATCACGTCCGATTGCTTCCCATCGAAATAATAAAATAGGAGCGGAAATTTTACCAAGACAGACTATTAAGCTTACCTAAATACCTGTATTTTTACCGTTTTTCCAGGTAAGAATACCACTTTTATTGGTAATGAATTCCCGGTAACTTTGCCATTCCATCTCGGTAATTCTACCACAGTCGATAAAAAATATTGGTGTTTTTACCAAGGTCCAGTAAAATTACCGAGAAAGTTCAATAATTTTACAGAGATTTCTCGGTAAAATTACGAATTCCATAAATGGTAATTTTACCAAGAAAAAACTGGGATCAAATAGAACCCCGAATTCTTGTTAATTTTACCCTTTTCTTAGGAAATACACCGAGATTTTTTTTTTCAGTGTGGTCCCCTCCCGTGAATACGCCACTGTAGATACTTAATTTCATACCCTGTCAGGCGGTCCATACGCGCTTTGCCACCTGAAGATCATCGCCCGCCTGATCAGCATATGCGACGCGCGAATGCGGGAGATCGCCACTGCCACCCTCCCCCCTCATCCTCGATTGAGAGAAAAACGGCGCTTCTGCGCGCGTCCGGGGCGGTCACCCCGCGCTCCCCATGCGTTTCCGCCCGGCGGCCTCACACCGGATCCGGAAATAGTCCGCGAAGAGCCTCCGCTACTCTCACACGCGCGCCGCCTCCACGCCGCCCGCACTCCGACAAATCTCGTTTGCCGCCTCTTTTCGAATTTCGCCCGCGAAGCGTGTCGCCAATCAACCCAGAGGCGTCGTTCGTTCGAACCCGATGGACAAACGTGAAATACTGCCGAAAAGTTTCGCCGAAAGTGTGTTTGCATTGTAAGGAAGCTGAAGTAATCATAAACACGGGATTCATAACCCATGCAACGTAATCCGAAGAATTCATAATAAATTAGCCAGATTTAAAAATTATAAACGACATTGAATTTAAACCTTATAGATTAACGTAAAATACAGCCTAATTGTGAATGAACCGTGAGTGTACCTAAATAAATAATAACTCAAAATTAATTAATTGATCGTGTTCGGCATTCGTAATTGGTGCAGCATAACTCATTATAAATGCGATTCGATTTTAAAAAAATATAGAGTGACGTCATGGTTTCAACCCAATAGACTTGCGAGGGAACACGTTTGAAAAGTTTCGCTAGTGAATTTAGTAGGATTGCACTTGCGTTGTAATACTTCATAACCAATTGTGTACGGAATTTATAATTGATGGAGCGTAATGCATAATGAAAGCGCCACAATTTAAAAATTAGTCAATACGTTGTTTCTGTAATCGGTTTGAATTGACTCGTTATATGGTTTCCATCAAGTGACGTCATTTGTTTAGACCTGATAAATTGTGAAACTCGTCCGAAATATTTCGCCATTCAGGATTGCTTTTTGTGGTGTTTTTCTCTCGACCAACCCCACAGGGGTACAATGTGCCGCGAAAGATTGTCTTTGGGTAATTTTACCGCGACAGGGCGCAGGGATTCTGTGAAAGATCCTCGTGTTGGACCGGTTTTGTGTGTGAAGTTTCTCTCGTCTCATCCCGCTCGGAAGTGAAGCTGTTACCGATCAGTCACATGTCGAGACGGAAACAAGCAAAACCACGATCTCTGAAACGTAAGTTCTACTTTTTTATGTTTCAATTTATGCTCAATGTACTTAAATACTTATGGATACGACTGAAAAAATTTAAAAGCATCCCTGCTAAAATGGGTGAGTACAAATGAGTAGAAAATCAAAGTCATATGAATAGAATTTCAACTCATATGAATAGAATTTCAACTCATGTGAATAGAACTTCAACTTAAATGAATAGAATTTAACTCATATATATGAGCAGAATTTCTCTTTTCACTTTTTGCCGACTCATAATTATGACTAGAGATTCGAACTCACATGAGTTCAGCGTTGAATCTACCGTGTCCGATATCTCAGGAACTAGTCACCACATCAAAAAAATTACAAGTACAAAATGTTCTTTTTTTCAAAGTTACACGTATTGTCGGCGTGTCCTGGTCAAAAACACCACTTCTGAAAAATTAAAAAAATTGAATTCATATGAGTTGAACTTTTCTTCTCTTATGAGTAGAATATTCTAGTGATATGAGTAGGATTTCTACTCATATAAGTAGGAAATTCTACTCATGTGAGTCGGCGAATTCTGAATAGCCTACTCATCATTTTTAGCAAGGATGCGTTACAAATCACCTATTACTTTACGCATTGTCCTACATATTTAAGGTTTTTGGACGGTAATGAGTTTTACCCGAAATATTCTAATTATTTATAGCATGGGAATATTCTACAATAGTTTCAGACAATAATACTGGTTTATTCACCTTTGAAGAAGTGAAAGAGGTGTGTGAATTTGAAGCGAGTATACATTGGTAGTCTCAAAATTGGACTGCATTAAGCAGAGAGGAGCCAAGCCATATCAGCTATTGTCAAATTTAATTGGGCAATTTAATTTTTTAAACGAATACGGTTGTGCGGATTTTTGCGAAAATTTAAGTGAATTCTCTGCATATTGCGAAGCAACTTCCTTGAAAATTTCAAACAAATCGCCGCACAAACGTTCTCTTGTAAAATATTAAATTTCTCGGTTACATATTTAGCAATTGCTGGTGTGGCTAAGTTCCTTTCTGCTCAACGCGGCCCATTTTAGCCGACGATGCCGATGTCGGAGGGCGGGTTATACGACCATTTACGAAAAATAATTCATTGCAGTAACGAAAATGAAACATTGGTAACAACACCTGAATGCAACTATTCGTGCTCTCGGTATGGTTATGTTGCGTATGCAAGAAATGAAGGCGCAGTAACTTCCTTTAGGCCGCGCTGATTATCAGAGCGGTAACGAAAACGAAACGTGAGTAAAAACGCCTCGATCCTGGATCCATGTTTCCGCGATATATGGTCATCCTCGAGAAAAGGAACCGTCGCACTCCGAGAGAATTTTCTCAGCTTTTTTGGTACTTAGATTAAAAAAAAAAAAAAAAAAAAAAAAAAAAAAAAAAAAAACTGGAATTGAAGACTGTGGCGGATACAAGCTCCAGTGAAACTGTGCACCGTGCAACTTCAATCACTATAACTTTGATTAAAAGTGGTGTGCGGTGTCTTTTGAGGTTCAGTTACACGATCAAATTGAGCCATCAAACTGAAGCTCTGATTGGTGGAAAAAGACCTGAGCTGAGGATGCGACCAATGAGAGGCCCCATTCGATGGCTCAATTTGATCGTGTGACCATTGAAAGAACTTCGATGGTGAAACTACCGAACCACGTATCTCGGTTTGCGACGTTGCAGACTTCAATACTTGATTTTTCAACGGAAAACCACTCAACGTCAATTGGACTGCATTTTGCGATTTGGACCTATAAATTTCGGTCCGGTTTAAAAACAAAGCATGTGTCATTAGTTTCCCTATGCACATAAGTGTTTTTTCAGATGAGCCAGAATTTATAGGTACAAATTGCAAAATGCAGTCCAATTGAAGGACTTGGAGGACAAGGCGCATAAGTGCAGTTTATGTTATTTCAAGAAATATAGGTGTTTGAAATCTTTCAAAATTACGTGGAGTCTTGTGGCAAAAAGGAAGTTTAAACTCACTTTTTGATGCTTTAAATTTCGATTTTAGCTGTGAATTTTTCACAGCATGTACTTTCAAAATAGTATTGGTTGAGTTCATAAATAACTCAATTTTCTCTAAAACTCCACTTGTGCGCCTTGTCCTCCAAGACCCTCAATTCTTGATAACTTACGTGATTTTTCTGCTCTGTGCGTAAGAAAATTCTTGTTAAAACTTCAAGGAATGATATTGATTAGTTTTTCTTCAAAAACTACCGTGGATTTTTCAAATAGTTCCATTTTTATCGTTTTTTACTTGTTTTTGATAGCAAAGAAGAAAAAATCAGCGTTAAGTAATTATGATAAAACTTAAAAGAGTTCTTGGTGTAAATACTTAAACCGTAACAATTTTTTTATAAGATTTTGCAAATTTTAACAGTTTCTATGGGGTTGTCTCCCTAAAGTGCACAAGTTTTAACATGTTTTTCACCCAGTCATTGCCACTAGAGACGTAGAAAAATTCATCTTTTCCCCGCCAAAAATGCACCCGAAATGACACACCGCAGATTAGAAACGGCATGTCGGAAATGAGACTCATCTCAAAGTCATAGCAATTAAACTTTAAACCTTATTTCCTGAGTTCCTCGCAAGCGGGAACAGGTCGAAGCGCCGCGCATATAACAATTTGACACGCTTGAAAATTGCTCGTATCACAAATTCCCCATTCTCAGCACATACCTACATCCGAAAGTATTGTATCGATTAGCTCAATTTGAATAATTTAGCCAGTTCCCGAGGGATGAGAACATCTGCGGATCAACGGTTCGGCATAGCTCCTCTTATTCGTTCTGCCGCTCGGGAGAAAGTAAAATCGACGACCTTAAGTCTAAATCTACTTCTCTGCCGTGCTAAGAGAAAACGCCATATGAGCCTTAAGACGTTGCCAGATTTGTTTTACTAAAAACGAATATACTTGAAAAATTTTGAATATTTTATCCCAAATTTTTCAGATAGTTTTGTTCGCAACTTGAGCTAACATATCCGAAAATTTCACGGAGAAATATGCATAACGTTCCTAAAAAAAAATCATGTTTTATCCGGAGAAATTTGACAACTATCGAATGTTCATACGGCGTTCTTTCTTAACACGGAAGTACTGTAACATTCTCATTTTGAGACTGTGATGTAGCCAAATTTCTTTACCTGATTGGTGATAAGTCGCAGAGGAATACAAATTGAGGGGCGTTATACAGTGGCGCGGCGTGCTTTGCGATATATCGATTGATCTGCCATTTAAAGCTATGAAAAAATATCGATAGACAGGGCGTTTACATCTAACACCTTAATAATCGATTCTTTACCATAGCTTCAAATGGGGAATATCGATAATAATCGACCATTCGCGCCTCTCCAGTGGCATTCTATGGATGGAGAGTAAGGACCCAACTACCCAAATAGCAAGTAGTAGTAAAAATTGAGGGGCGTTATATAGTGGCCTGGCGTGCTTTGCGAGATATCGATTGATCTGCAAAGCTATGACAAAATATCGATAGACAAGGCGTTCGCATCTAACACCCTAATAATCGATTCTTTACCATGCTTCAAATGGGGAAATCGATAATCGACCATTCACGCCTCGCCAGTGGCATTCTATGGATGAAGTGTAAGGACCCAACTACCCCAGTAGCAGTGGTCGCGATAAGTTGCGATTTGATCGGGTAATCTATCAAGATTTTCTCGACGTCGCTTCATTGCAATAGTAGGTATCGGATTATGAATTGCAATATGTTGCGATTACATCTTATAAATTTGCAAAAAAATCGCGGTTTATCGCAAAATTATTGAACAAAAAGTCGTGATAAATTGAAGTAAAATTTTAATTTTATCAAACGCGATTTTGAAGAGATAAAATTGCGACAAGATCGCAGATAATCACGCAGATTTTGAAGATCCTAGCGATTTTATTGCCAAAAAATCGTAAAAAAAATCCAGTGGCGTGGCGTGAATGATCGATTATCGATATCTCGCCATTTTAAGCTTTGGTAAAGAATCGATGACTAAGGTGTTCGCTGCGAACACCCTAATAATCGATCTTTTTTCATAGGTTTGAGTGGCGTATCAATCGATAAATCGCAAATCACGCCACGCCACTGAAAAAATCACAACTTGATTTCAGAAAATCGCGATTATCCATTGAAAAATGCTACTCGCGGAAGAGGGTTAAGTGACTCCCCCAAGTTTGCAGTAGTAAAAATTTGAGAGTGTAATTCTGTGCTGGAATGTATGGTACTCAAACCCTCAAGTGAATTGGGGAGCGGAATCTATCCTCCTCACGGAATGACCGCGCACTATTACGAGGCATACCACACAGTTAAACATTTTCGTGTTTATGGTTCTGCGAATTACTTTTTTTCGGTCAAATCAATCAACCAGGAGGACTTGTCTAATCGACTACATTTTTTGTTAAATCAACCAAAACCGGAGGTTAATCTGAGCACCTAGGAATAAAATAAAGGTCCTGTTGAACTGATGATTATTGTTTCTCTTCATTTCACTGAGAGGTTGCGACTTACAAGTGGTTAGCGCAGCTATGACCACTCCAATCCAGGCTCGACCATGTTTTCTTGCACTGACCTTCTACATATCTACATTATCTCGAAAAATTTAATTAAAATTGCCCCTATCTTTCAAAAAATCAAAATTTTTTAATTAATAGGTTTTTTTTTAAAAAAAATCCTTATTCCTTGCATTTTTCTCTGGCGCTTACCTATGAAATCGAGGCACTTGTTTTCTTATCGATCATCTGGATCAGCTCAACTTTAGCGGGCCGGAAAATCTGCTGTCTTATTTACATTCTGAATCGAGGGGCTTAGAAGACAAAGCGCGTAAGTGCAGGTTTTGCTATTTCGAGAAACATGCGTTCAAAGTATTATAATTACATAAAACCGCACGGCAGCCAGGAAGGAAGTTCAAACTCACATGTTGATACATTTAAATTTGATTTTACCAGTGAATTTTTCACAGAATATGTTTCAAGGCAGGTTTCAATTG